AAGTTGTCCCCCCCCCTCCCCCCCCCCCCCCCCCCCGCAGAGATCAACAATGATGCTTCTAAGCAAAATCATAAATATCAAACACAAGCAAACTAGTCCAGAAAAAAGCAACATTTCAGGAAGGCAACCTCGTGTGGCTATGAGTGAAAAAAGAATAATTTCCTCTAGGAGCATACAGCAAACTCAAGCCCATAGCTGATGGACTGTTCCACATTTTAAAGAAATTAAACGATAATGCATACAAAATTGACCTGTCAAGAGATTCCAAAATTACAACATTCAATGTTGTGAATCATTTTCCATACTACGAGGGACTGGAAGCTTTGGCAAACAATATTGAAGCTCCCGCAACCCTGGGAGATTGATGCAAAATCATTCAAGCACATGGGCAATTCGCACCCGTTGATCGAGCGTGGCATTTTGAACCGTCCAGCGTCTCTATTGAACCGGAACTGGTTCAAATCCACTTAAGTGTCGTGATCCCACTCCTCTTCTGCGATCATTTCCTTCTCGTGCCCTAATCTTCCGCCTCCTAGTCGTTGCTGGCCCCCTCTTCAATTCCTACTATTTCCTCCCCTTCCTTTCTTAGATCTTACCATTACTAGCTACTAGTCTTCTCTCTATTTATATTTGTTTTTGCATAGGTCCTAACAAGTACTTGATTTTCTGATTTCAGATATTCTTCCTAGTGTTCCCTCATTTGAAGTTGTATCCTTCAGAAGAGTGGTGCTACGGCTATATCCCGCCAAGGTGATGTGTATCATCGCTCTGCTGCAACCACTCGGCATCTCCCCTCGTCACTACAACCTTCTATGTTCCTCCGGCGGACAGTTCAACCTCCTGTAAGGCTTCCTTCAGCAATCCTGAAAAACCATGACTCCTTTCCTGCTGCACCACTCCCTACGCCCTCTCCTTCCTCCGCCGCACCTCACAACCGTTCCCAAGCCGGCGATTGTGCCTCCCAGTCATCCCACAACAGGTTGCCACACCTCCCAGCCCTCCCAAAGGAGTTTGTCGTGCCTTCAAGCCCTTCCCCAGTAGGCAGCTACACCATTCGGATTCTCCAGCACCCTTCCTACCTCCGCTGACCATCCGCAATCGGCTCTCTGTCACTCCCCGACATTGAAGATTCATCCAACTCCTCTCTAGTTGTTGTAGACCCCTCTGCCACCCAGTCTAATGGGCCTCCATACTGCCTCATTGACACCGTCCAAGATTGTTTTTTGTTTTATGCTTAATCTATTTCCCACATTTCTCTTTTTTTTCTTTACAATTTTAGTGTTGTGTCGTATTATTGTTTGTGTTCATTTTACTACTTATGCAATCTTGATATTCATGTGTCATTGTTGGTGAGGAGTCGTCCTTGTAGTCATTTTTATAATTCAATAATAAAATTTGTCGCGTTTGAGTTGTCGTTTGGGTTAACTCTGGTATCACTGACATTCCTGAATTCAATAAAAAGCAACCGTTCATACAAATCAATCTTACTATTAAAAAATTGATGTGATGAATAATGAAATAAAGAAACATCACAAATTTTAGGTGAAAAACTCAACAACAACAACAATAACAAGTCTTTATCCCACTAAATCGGGTAATCTTTTTTCTCCATTGCGTCCTATGCGTCCTATTGAGTGTTGCGTCCTATTGAGTGTTATATTTTCATTTAATTCAAATAAATCAAGATCATTTTTTCAAGATCATTTTTTATACAACATGCTCAGGTTTTTTTAGATCAACCTCCATTTTTCTTAACATAGGTCAAATATAAAAAATCTAGTCTCCTAACTGGATCATCAGATGATCAACGTTAAATGTGATCAAACCATCTAAAACGACTCTCTTTAATCTTGTCTCCCACTGGAGCTACACCAACCATTTCACGAATATATTCTTTTTGCACTTTGTCTCTAAGTGTAAAGCCACTCATCCACTCAAACGTTCTCATCTCAACTTAACATAGTTTTATGTTCTCTTTTATATGTCAACATTCTACGCCATAAAGCATTGCAGGTCTCACCATCTCATAAAATTTTCCTTTAATTCTAGGCGATACTTTTCTATACCACAATAGGCCCGATGCATTCCTCCACTTCAACCATTCAACTAAATTCTACAAAAAATATCCCCATCTACATCACCGTCATTATGAACAATTAGCCAGAGATATCTAAGGCGTTCACTCCTTTTAATGATTTGATCACCCATTGTAGCAACTTTGTCACTAGATCTATTACCACTAAAATTTTATTTCATGTAGTCAGTTTTAGATCCCCGTGAAGTGAGATTAAGGTTTTATTGTTGTTGTTGTTATTATTGTAGTCAATTTTAGATCTATTCAAACGAAGACCTTTAGAATCTAAAGTAGACCTCCATAGTTCAAGTATTTACTGAAATCTTTCTCTAATTTTATCCACAAGAATGATATCATTAGGAAAAAACATAAACTAAGGTATATCCTCCAGTAAATGTCCAGTAGGAGCATCCATAACTAAAACAAAAAAAGAAATGTGTTTAAAGTCAATCTCTGACGTAATCCAACTGAAAATAGGAAAATATTTGGTCCACCATCCTTCTGTTCAAACACAAGTAGCAATTATAGTATACATATCTTTAATGACTTGAATATAACTAAAATTTAAAAAACTCATGTCATGATTTTTTCGATAGAAATTTTATGTTGGTTGTTGACTACCTAACACAATCCTCTACTTTTTGAAATCAAGGCTTGGGATCCGGCAACCCAAAATTTTACGTGAAAATTTTGAGATTAAAAAAAACTCAGGCAGAAGAAAAGAATTAACTATGTCAAATAAGAAATTATAAGTTGAAAGCTTTGGATAATATAAAACTAAACTAATGGGAAAATAAATTGCCTTGTACAAATAAAATGAGGTATTTATAAACTTATACAAGATCACATTAAAGGAAAATACTTAAAAAGGAGCCAATAAAGCAAGAGCACAGAATTGAAATTTAAATACTATTATAAGATTAATCAAATGGTAGAGGCTTTCAATCTATGTGCTCAGAGTTTCTTTTTAAATCTTCAATTCATGTGCTCAAAATTTGCTTATGAAATGAGTGGGACCCGCAGAATTCTGATCACAAATTTAGCATTAACAATATGCCAAGAAATACGGCTCTCCATGGAAAGATGCGATATTTTGAGACTCGCTCAAAATAAATTCACAAATGTTACGCAAGCCAAACTCATTCACTGCATAGTCTAAGTTTAATCCTTCAAAGTTCTCCGCGCATCACATAAACCAATATAAGCTTTTCTTTAGAGCTACATGGATGCACGAGGAACACTGGATTAAGTTACAAATTAACAAACCACTCTCCAAATGAATAATACTTGCAGTCGCATGTTGATTCAAAATTAGAAGCACTTGAGATCATAACCCTGAAAGTATGAGGTCTTATTCTAAAAAAAAAGATGCCTCGATGATAAGGAAGGCTAAGGAGAAAATAAACATAAATCACATGCAAAACGTTTGGGAAAAAATGCATCAAAATGCCAACCAACAACAGTAAAAAAAAGAAGAAAGAGCAAAGTCAGCAGTTTGAGGTACAGCTCCATTTATACATGTAATCTGAAATTATTGGATTTCACACTATCTAGTTTCACTCTGCACCATTCCAGATAATGCAACTAATGACCTTATCTACATAAGTACTCAAAAACTGAAAGTATGGCTTACTTGAGAAGACCTTTAGACCCAACTGCCATGGAGTCTATAGTACTGCCAAGCATTCTGATGTAAATAAGGGAACCAAGCAACCCTGCACCAAAGCTGAAAACAGAGTGTGTCAATAAATACAGTTAGCAACTGCAGAGACAGTGAGTATACGTCCAAAAAAAATTGAAATGGAAATTCTCAAAAACAAAGCTGGATTTGCGGTATATATTATAAATCATCACAACAAGCATTCTTTGCATTTGTCTCCGACCATTAAAGAAATTAAAGGAGAAAGTCAAATCCCATTACTAAAGTGCAAATTATTTATCAGTAAACTTTAGCTCCCATACAAAGTATAAGAAGAGACATTTCAGCAAAAGAGAGGGATTCATTCCCAGAGTTATTAATTACAAAAGGAATCTAAAATACATAAACTGCACAAAAGATAAGTAGAAATTAAAATGGAAACCTTCAAGTAAACAAAGCTGTATTTGACCTATATACTGGTAGTCATATGTCTCCAAGCAATAAAAAATTAAATAAAATAGTTGAATCCTATAGCAATCCTGCAAATTATTTCTCAAAAAGGAAACTTCAGCCCCCCTGCAAAGAGTTCAGTATTAGAAAAATATGTTTTAGAAAAAGAGAGATCCATTCCAAGCATTATTATTAGACAAATTCACAGACTCCCCAAGCTTTTCATATTGCATCCATATTTGAACATATCATCATATACATATTAAAACCAACCACCATATTCATATTCAAAAATATCACCATAAAATTATATAATTATATAATTATATAATTTTATATATATATATATATATAAAAACATGAAATAGCAAACAATACATGATACACGAATAAGAGATGCATTTATCACAACAAAAGCTCCACTTTCTGGTAATATTGAAGGCTCCAGAATAACATATAAGGTCTTCTATGCTGAAAACATTATTAATATTAAAGTTTTATGGTAGTATTTTTTTTTTTTTTTGGTTGTAGATAAATTGAACAAACACAGATCTCATTTTCTTTAGGATTTTATATAAGACAAAATATCAGGAACGAAAAAAGATGTGGAGAGGCAACAAAAACAACAAGCCTTCACCCCACTAAGTGGGGTCAGCTACATGAATCCTTTTTCTCCATTGTGTCCTATTGAGTGTTATACTTACATTTAATTCTAATAAATTAAGATCATTTTTTATACAATATGCAAGTCTTTTTATGTCTACCCTTGTCTTTCTTAAGTCGAATCCAAAACATCTACTCTCCTAACAGGATCATCAGATGGTCAATGTTTAATGTGACCAAACTATCTAAGATGACTCTATCTAATTTTTTCTACCACTAGAGCTACACCAAACCTATCACGGATATATTCATTTTGCATTTTGTCTCTTACGTTTCAAGTCACTCATCCACCTAAGCGTTCTCACACAGCATTACTTAACTTTGTTTTATACTTCTTTTTTAAGGCCAACATTCTGCCCCACAGAGCATTGCAAGTCTCACCAGCATCTTATAAAATTTTTCTTTGTCTGAGCGGTACTTTTATCACATGATAGGCCCTATGCATTCCTCCGCTTTAACCAACAAACTTGAATTCTACTAATAACATCCCCATCAATATCACCATCACTCTGAACAACATACCCGAGGTATCTAAAACGTTCACACATTTTAATGATTTGATCACCCATAATTATAACTCTGCCACTAAATCTACTCCTAAAATTACATTCCATGTATTCAGAATTTAAGTTTTTCCTGAACTATATCTTTAGTATTATCCACAGGAAGGATATCATCACCGAAAAACATACACCAAGGTACATCCTCCCGTAAATGTCCAGTAAGAGCAACCATAACTAAAGCGAAAAGATATGGGCTTAAAGACAATCCCTAATGTAACCCAACTGAAATAGGAAAATACTTGGTCAATTCTCTTGTTTGAACACAAGTAACAGCTCTAATATAGATATCTTTAATGACTTGAATACAAGTCATATCAACACCTTTCTTCTCCAAAACTCTCCAAAGGATTTCTCTTCGAACTTTATCATAAGCAATTTCTAAATCAATAAAAATCATATGTAGATCCTCCTTATTCCTGTACTTCTCCATCACACATCTCAATAAATGTATAGCATCCATAGTAAACCTGTCAGGCTAAATTCGAACTGATCATGAGAAATCTTTGTAGCACGTCTTAATCTTTGCTCAATAACCCTCTACAATAATTTTAAAGTACGACACATCAACTTAATTCCTTTATAATTTGAACACTCTTGTGCATCCCTTTATTCTAAAAAATAGGACCAAAATACTCTTCTTTCATTCCTCGGGCATCTTTCTAGTTTTTAAAAGAATATTAAAGAGTTTAGTAAGCCAAGAAACTGCCAAGTCTCCTAAATATTTCCACACTTCAATTGAAATAATCAAGTCCAACTGACTTTTCATGGTTTTTTATAAAGCCTCCTCAACTTTATTTTTACTAATGTGAGGTAAAAATAAAATTTTTTATCCTTATTAATGATATTAATATCGCTAATGTCATTCGTATTTTCAGAAACTTTATTTGAAAATTTTCAAAATAGCTAACTCACCTATTTTGAATATCTTCCTCTAAGAAAATCACTTTTTGATTTTCATTTTTAATACACTTAAGTTAAATCTTTACTATTATTTTTTTTCTGTTTGGCTAGTTTATACATATATTTTGCACCTTCTTTAGTATATTATCTATTATAAATATCACTGAAAAAAATTTTTTAACTCATAAATTGTTTTCTTAGACTTTCTACGGGTCGTCTTATATTTTTCTCAGTTCTCTAATTTTTTACATTTAAACCAATTTTTATAACACTTCTTATAATCTATCTTTTTCATGCACATTATTATTCCACCAACTATTTTTGTTTAATAGTGATTGTTACTTTATCTCGCACTGAATTTGTTTCTTCATGAACATCACAAATTTTTAAATTTTGAAGTTTACTAATTAAAATAATTTTATGTATCTTTTAAGTGTTCTCATCAAATTATATGACAATGATTCTCAATATTTTTTTTCTTACAACTATTCATCTTAAAATCCAGAACTAATAATTAATGTTGCGTACCTAAATTTTCATTTGGAACGATCTTATAATCTTTAAATTCACGACGATCTTTTATTCTCATAAAAAAATAATCAATTTGTGTTATACTAGAACCATTCTTACAAATAATACAATGCTCATCTCTTTTTTTGAATAAAGTATTAACAATAATAAAATCATATGCTAAAACAAAATCTAAAATGGTTATGCCTTCATTAATCACTCCAAATCGTAACCACCATGAATATTTCTAAAATCTTCTATCCCTCTGCAAAAATTTCCCCCAATAAAATTTCTTTCTTCAAGAGATATCATTTGTATTAATTTTTCTAAATCATTTCAAAATTTTTCTTTAGAACATATAAATCTAAACCTACTTGAGGAGCTAAGCACTTATAACATTAAAAATCTTAATACTAACAACAATCTTATTGACTATTATTCCAGCTCCAATTTTATTATTTTTTACTGCATTATCTTTCAAACTCTTATCTATAATTATACCTACATTTTTAGTGTGACTTCAACTTGAATACCAAAATTTAAAACCTAAGCTATCAATCTTTTTAATAGTTTCTTCAACTCATTTATTTTCTTGAATACATAAGATATTTATCTTCCTATGAATTATAATATCAACTAATTCCATTAATATACTTATAAAAATAACTATATTCAAAGATTTTATCCTAATATTAGATGTTGTGCAAAGACATTTAGAATAAATGCACATAAAACCATAATCTCGTGTTGAATTTTTGGGTAATTCTGCAAGCATAAGTTATTGCTTTGTATTTGTTGGCATGCTACGCAATATGAATCCTAATTGCATGTGCACGGTAAATTATGTAGTAGAAAGAGAGTACGACAAATGTAGTTGTGTCATGAGAACTATAAGTTTTTTTGGGCCCGCACTATTAAAATTTGAGGATGTGATTTACCAATTTTACAATTAATTAAATTATTCTAAGCTAATTCAATAACAATATTAAATCTGAACTACGCAAAAAAATAACCAACAATACGCTTTAATAATTTCCCCATCCCATGGTTCACAACTATAGTTTGTCTATCAATTTATGGATGGAAGGAAAGATTGAATTTGAAATTAGTCCAAATAATTTCCAACAATTTCTAAAAATGTCCCACAAGCCTGACATCTTTATCGTAAACAAAAAAAAATGACAAGCCAAGCAACGAAAGCGGGGGTGTTAACGAACCGAGCTTAAGTGAGCTAAAGCTCTGTTCGTGTTCGGCTTGTGTGTATTAGCACATGTTCGAAATTGGCTCATGTTCGAATTAGGCTCATAAAAGGTTTGTTCGTGTTCGAATTGATATTGATTGATTTGCCGAGTATTAAAAAAATTGATTTGAATTTGTTTCGAACTTACACCCTTCTTGTCCAATAGAAGAGACCTCACCTCTCAAGCACGAGCTACAGTGGTTTAATCTTATACATAAATATATAAATATATATATATAATTTCTTTATTTCAAACTAAAACAGGTCAAACACGATTAAATAAAGTATTGTTCACGTTCGGCTCATTTATAAGTTGAGCTTAAGAAATTTGTTTGTGTTCAACTTGCATATTTAACAAACGATTAAAACACGAGTCGTTCGGGAACAACAAGCTTTTTTTACATCCCCTAAACAAACAACCTCTTTAAGGAAAATTTCTACAGTTTATAAAGAAATATATCATGTAAGAGATAATCAAATCAAAGGGTTGCTATAATCTTAGGTAAAGAAAGGTTTTTGTAAAGCCAGAAAATGTGGGTGATATAATTTCAGTCACAAGCACAATATTAAAACAACTGAAACAAAGAGAAGGGAAGCCACCTGACTGAGGGCATCAATAGCTTTGTTGTCCACACCAACTCAATGGCATAATACAGAAAAGTAATCATGATGAAAAGCAACCTATTTAGCGTGATGCATGCAGGATGTAAGTATTTTCAAGCCTCATAATTAAAAAAGAGGACAAACTCACATGGCAATAGATGATGTCGCAAGCAATGGAAAGTCAAGAAAATAACAAAGAATTCTCTAACATAAGTAAAATATCTATGATTGTGATCTCATCATTGGTTGTGTTATTAGTGTTTTCTTATGATTATGTTGTTTGCACATAAACTTATTTGTAATTGATTATTCCGGTTGTGACAATTGTGATTCTAAAAATAGCAATCAATTAGCCCAAATGAATGTTTCTACTTTTATTTGCTCTAGTTTTTCAATGGCTTAATCAAATTCAACTTTTTCCAATGGATAATGATCAACTCTTCCTTCACCATACTAAGAAACAAGATGAAAAGAGGCTCTCCTCATTCATGGCTAAGAACACCATTCTCCCATGCCTCCCCACATCCTTCTTTGCCATGCAAATAAAGAAGGATAGAGAAAGGATGTCCTCTACCAACCCAACTGTCTCTATCATCTTCCTTGCTAAGCCAATGGAAAGAAAAATCATGATATATAATCCACCTCTTCTTCCTCCTCAACCTCAACCCTAACCCTGATTTCCCATCCTGCACCTCCCTCTCATGATCCCTTATCATCCTTATCACTATTATACACAAGTTTGAGCTAGGCGATCAATTTGGCGAGAGCTCAAGCTCAACTTGCAGGGTATAAGCTTGATTATGCTCAACGAGTTTACATCATTTGTCAGTAAGAATGAAGATAAATATGGTCAAATTTCCAAATTGAAATAGAACTATGAGTCAAGATTCACATATAAAAATGGTATAAAGCATGTATATGTCGCTTGCCAGACCTACCTAGCAGCAATTTCGGGACTATAGAGAACATATGCTGAGATTACACCAATGCCACCAATCCCTAGAGTAAGCACTTGAAGTTTGTTCTTCAACTGCAAAACAACATTAAAGGAAGAAATTTTTCTATGTTTCAATTTTCAACTTTTTGCATAAATTAACATAGGAGTATGTTTTCTTGACCAAATTATTTGTTCTTCAGCTACTAATTAAATATGTAACAAATTGCTGTATTTCATGTTTCAGAAGAAGCTCTGCAGCAATTCTATAAGCACATAGAAGAATGAAAATTACAGCGTTATGAAACACAAGTATACGCAAGATCAGGAGAAAATTAAGTACCTTAGCATACTCCTCTGTAGATTGAGCTCTCAAAACCCTGGGATCAACTCGACTCCTAGATGATTCCCGTATTATTACATCCTACCAAATTCAAATCAAACATATAGGAAGTACATTTATTAAGATAGAGAAATGCGTACGGATGTACCAAACTGTTGTTTTATGACCATTATGGTGCAGCCATTACACTAACATGACAGCGATGATGACAACAACAACATGAACAAGTCTTTATCCCGCTAAGTAGAGAGCCATTAAACTTAAGACAAAAAAGAATTAGGTGCAATGATGAGAACATTAAAAAAAAAATCGTATATAAATTATTAAAGAAAAGAATATGTTGCAAGTAGGCCCCTAAGGGCTAAGCAATACTAAAAGTTCACAATTAGGTCACTCTCAATTTTAAAAAAAGTTTTACATTTGGCACATTTGAGTTAACAGAATACTTATCTTAAAAAACATTTTTCGTGACTAAATTGTTTAGCTCGGAACCCTTTGGTCCTTTATGCTCTCACTTATCTCACTCCACAAACCCCGCCTGCCAAATAAATAATTGGAGGACAGGGATCCCTTCCTCGCTTTATTTAGTTGTTCAGGAAGGGATCTCCCTTCCCCATATTGGTAGTTAGCTCCCACGTCCTGAAAATAGGGAGATTCCCACCCTCCTCCAATGACACAATATGAGTTGTTTACTTTAAGTTATCAACCTAAAGTTTTTGTATCAACGTAAGCTATATTAATCCGATTTGTCATTCATGTTATCGTCCTTATTCATCACTTCGTTATTTGTAAGGTGTAAAATGGTCACTTGCTATCATAGACATGCTCGTCGTTTGGTGATTATTTATAGGCTTAGACAGTCAAAAAGAGTTATGATTGCTATTATAAATAATACAGCATAAGTTATAATAAGTAATGATTGCTTATGAAATAAATAAAGATCTTTCCTCTAGCATCCTCTATGGGATCATAAGGGCGCCCTACCATTAACCTTCCATACTCATGTGCATTTCCATGATCTAAAGCAACATATATAAGTTGTCCCAACTCAAAAGATTTACTTTCATTGCCTCATCCCCCCAACAACCCAAAGGTATCTTTCTCCTCACCTAATTTTGAAAAAAGGTAAGAATGTTCATCTGAAGTTGTGATTTAAAGCTCTATAATCTCTACAAATGACCGGTGAAAATCATAAGCCTGTTGAAAGCTAAGGGACACATGTTCTCATGGTGATTTTCTCCAACAAGTTGTTTCATTGATTGGTGAGATCTACTCCTCCCTTCTTGTAAATAATCTTCAAAGAATTAGTTTGGTGTTCTAGAGATGAGATTTGACATACAGAAAACAGCAGAAGAAAATTGTGACTCTTTCTTTTTCTTTTTTTTTTCTCCTACCCATAAGGGCTTACATTTCTGCCACTTTACCCTTATCTCTTCTCTTGACATATTCATTTATCTCTTCTTCCTAGTGATACAGAACAATGTAAGGTTATTTATATAAATATATATATTGTATTTTGTATCTAGAAGAATTAAGTGGTGCAATGAGATATAGTCAAAAATGAAGAAGAAATTATAAGAATGAAGTGAAGATTAAAACACCTTCAAACTCTCAAGCAAATGAAATTAGAAGTCCACTAACAAAAACCCAAGAGCCCAACAAGTGCACAATTCAGCACTCATTCAAAACCCATCACAAGAGTCATATAAAAAAATATATATATTTGAATTTATATTTTATTATTTATATTTCAATTATAGTTTCTAGAAAGTTTGAATTTTCAAATTTGGAGGTTTTTTGGTTGATCATAAAAAAAATTAGGAAAGTGGGTTGTCATGACCCGACCCGGTGCGTAGAATTAACTAAGACGGATACTGCGGTCGAACAGTAATTGTTATGAAAAACAACGGCAATAAAGTAAAAAAACTGGATCGAAAATTGCAAACCAGAAAATAACACATATTTACATGGTTCGACTAATTTGACTACGTCCAAGGAGTTACAAAGAATTTTAGTACCTCAAAAAATTACACCGTCAAACGCCTCGACGTTTACAAGAAAACTTCATTTCTCTTTCTTTTTCTTTCTCTCTCTTAGCTCTCGAGAGGACTTGGCTTAGAACTTATGACAGACCAAAAGAGACTATTTAAAGAAAACGGAAGAAAGGTAGGTGAGACGCGGTAGGTGATGTAGGTAAGTCACAAGCTCCATATATTTAACAATTCTCTCACTTAGAGATTGGGACACTAACTGGACCATCTACAGGTTGCATCATCTGCTGGTTCTACCGACATTTTTCTTCAAACATGATATCCTTCATTTTACTCCACTTTCCTTCACATCTGCAACTCATGGCTTTTGTCTTCACGCTGGAAGACCAACTGAAGTCAAGCCCAACTTCAATTTCTCAAGAGTAGCACTATTAGTCAACATATCAGTGTCAACATAGTCTTGTACCTCCAAGTTTTTTCTTAGGTTACTCATGAATCTGCTTACAACTCCCACTGGGCAATATCTTCCCTCAGCTGAAAGTCCTTTTCAACAAGTTCAGCATTTTACGTCTTACTGCCATTAAGCACAATCTTCATCCGGTATATCCACTTATTATGTAATGTTTTCTTCTCTAGTGGAAGTTCTGTCAGTTTCCACTTGCTTGAATTTTCATCTTACAAGATTTCTTCATATCTCTGAGTTTCTTCATTATTTGTCTTTGAAACAATAGGAATGGATGCCCCGGACCCAATCTCCTCTTCACTTTCATCACTACCCTGCATTATGGTCTCTCGTAGATCAACAAATCTTACCTTTCTACAGCAACTAGAGCTTCCGAGAGATGTCACTGGAGAAAGTCTTCATACATGTGTGTGTACAAGATCCAGTTTTATTCCCCTTGGCACTCAGCCACCTTTCAAGAAAATAACATTTTTTTTTGTTTCCTCACAATGCACCTCTGACTCATGTGTCCACGTCTGAGTAAATTTATAGTCATATATAGTGTGTTAGTTTTCTTACCCCGAGCTAGTATTAATGCTCATTTGGATACCTTCCAGATCATATATAAGAATATTACTGAATGACTACTTTCATTGAGCTGTCCGAAAAAAATGAGATTTTTCCAATGAGGTTTTTCTTTAACTCAGAAACGTGCACAACCTTTTGAAAAGTTCATTTACTCTTGTTAGGGAGTGCAATATCAACGTTTCTCATCCTCATCACGTTCAGAGCTTTTCCATCAGCTAGATATACATTCTCAAAGTTACCTGCAACATAATTTCGCATTAACTCACAATGAGAAGATGTATAGAAGGAAGCTCTTGAACCCAGTATCCAGTCATCAACAAAACTGTGAACTACCAGCAATAGTACATCCTGTATTTTTTCAGTTACCACATTTGCGCTAACATTCTCCTCCTTAGAATTCAAGCACTTCCTTTTTATGTGATCAATCTTGCCACAATTCCAGCAGGTTGCATATTGACCAGACTTTAATTTTGATATTTCTCTGTTTGAGTTCATGTTCCGTGATCTCTCTCTGGAATCAACAATCAGTGTCAAACTTGAACCTGCGGTCTCGCCAGAATCTTTCCTGTGCACATTTTCTGTCAAAATCAAATCATGAATATCATCATATTTCAGTCTGGATTTACCTACAGAACTGCTAACTGTCATCCTCATGACTTTCCAATTATTTGGCAATAATGCCAACAATATCAGCGCGTGTATCTCATCATCAAAATCAATTTCAACAAACGACAATTGATTTGTATAGTGTTGAAATCATTCAAGTGTTGAGCAACAGACAAACATTCCGCCATCTTCAATTTGAATAACTTTTTCATCAAGTGCACTTTGTTATTCATCGATAGTTTTTCATACATACATGATAAAGCTGTCATGAGATTTGCAGTCATCCTCTTTTTGAATACGTTATGGGAAGGGTCAATCAAATAACCCCCAGAACTTATCGATCCAACAGATTTCATTCCATCTCGTCCATCTTTTTCAATCATTTTCTCAATAACAGAAAATGAAGTTTCTTTTCATAGAAGTAGTACTCTATTTGCTTCCTCTCGTAGTCAAAATCTATGTCATTAAATTTCTCGATCCCCGATATCATCACTTCGTCTCCGCTCATTGTTCTTCTTTAAATCCGAACCAAATCTATGATTTCAATTGTTATGAAAAAAGACAGCAATAAAGTGAAAAAACCGAATTGACAAATTACAAACCAAAAAATAACTCACAGATTTACGTGGTTTGACTAATTTGTCTACTTCAACGAAGTTGCAAAAGATTTTAATACTTCGAGAAATTACACCGTCGAACACTTCAATATTTACAAGAAAAGTTTCTTTCTCTTTCTCTCTTCCTTTTTCTCTCTTAGCTCTCAAGAGAACTTGGCTTAACACTTATGACAGTCCAAAAGATACTATTTAAATAAAACGGGAGAGAGGTAGATTGGAGAGAGCTAGATGGGAGAGAAGTAGGTCACATGCTCCATATATTTAACAGTAATGATATATTTAATAGTAACGACATCTAAGTATTCCCATTTTAAAAACTTACTTAAAATTGTGCATTAAAATATCAAAAAAAGTCCTAAAATTATGCATGTATACATCTATGATGTACAATAGTGAGTCATATCATTTACAAGTATATTAGAGAGTTTTATATCATCATCAACATCCATCAAAACCATCAAGGGCATGCCTAGCACAAAAAAGTGCAGCCCCATTACATTCCCTTGGTAATTGAAAGAACAAAACTTGTCTAAAATTTAACAAAAAAGCAATATCCGATATAATAGTTGGTTGTCGTTGCCAAACATCACGTTTCATAGAATCTTGAAGAATTTGCATAATATTCATATTATCCCCGTCGATGATGATTCCCTTGCACTCAAGCATCCACGGCTGACAAATAGCTTGGAAGGATTTAATTGCTTGAAGTTCAACTTTGGCACAATTCCAATGCAAAAACGAGCATTCAATTGCAAGCAGGTTCGTACCTCTTTCATCACTTATAAAACAACTGGTACTAGCAACACCACAAAAAGAGAGCGCTCCATCGAAGTTCAC